GCCCAGTCCGCAGTACCACTTTGATTTATTTTATTATTTGAAAGTTAGAGCCACAGAGAGACAGAAGCAAGAGTGAAAGGTCTTCCATCTGCTGGTTCACTCCACAAATGGCCGCAGGGGCCAAGAACCTGGGCCATTTTCTGCTGCTTTCCCAGGCCATAGCAGAGAGCTGGATCAGGAGTGGAGTAGCCGGGACTTGAACTGGTGCCCATGTGGGATGCTGGCACTTCAGGCCAGAGCGTTAACCCACTGCAACATAGTGCTGCCCCCTAAGCTCCACTTTTAATCAGATTTTCTGTGCCTGGTGATCTAGAGTCTTACAGTGAGCACAAATTAGAATACTGGGGATTTTGCCTTTGACCTGGCTTGAAAGCTAATCGATGAGGAATGTTAACTGGAAGAGACCATGGCTGCCATCTTAATCACCAGATAAAGCCGAGGTCACTTAGTAAGTTAGTAGCAAAAGAGGCAGGACTGAACACTGGTTTGTGATTCTTTACAAGATTTAATACACAGCTTTTTTTCCCCTGAATCTTTACAAATAGTTAATACACACTGAGTGATCGGTGTTGATAACTTGTCTGTCTGGATGCAAATTGCCCGTGGCTGTTCCTATTCCTTAATACTCAGAAAAGAACAGGGAGCCAGACCTCTTAATCAGGAAGAAAGTCTTCCCTGAGAGCAGTTTTGGGAAGAGTGAGGATCACCTCCCTGATAAATATATTTGGAGTAAAACTGTTCTGGAAGGGTCTGGATGGTATCTGATGGTATCTACTCAAGGTACAGAGCAAACCAAGTTTATTTGCATGCTGCTTCAAATGCAAAGGAATAGTGATTGCCTAGTGTGTATAAGGCATTGGGCTTCCAGGAAAGATCTATATAGTTGGGGCTGTTAGCCACCTCAGCGGATTTGAACTTTTCATTTTCTGGGGGCCCGCAAACCCAACAAGATTCAGTTTGCAGAACAATTTCCTGCCTATGGTGTTTCTGGTTGCTCAGTTTCAGAGGTATAATCTGTCTGCTAGGGTAAGGTTAGAGTTTTGGCCTGGTGAATTAGCACTGTACACTGAGATTTAGTGAAGTGATTGGGAATTCTTGAGTCCTGTTCACATGGATTAGATAAACTGAAGGAAACAGCTTTCACAAAAAGGAGCAGATACATCTTTTTTTTTGTTTTTTTTTTTTTTAAACGGAGTTAGACAGTGAGAGAGAAAGAGAAAGGTCTTCCTTCTGTTGGTTCACCCCCCAAATGGCCGCTTTGGCCGGCACTGCGCCAATCCGAAGCCTGGAGCCAGGCACTTCCTCCTGGTCTCCCATGCAGGTGCAGGGCCCAAGCACTTGGGCCATCCTCCACTGCCTTCCCGGGCCACAGCAGAGAGCTGGACTGGAAGAGGTGCGGGCCTAGAACCGGTGCCCATATGGGATGCCAGCGCCGCAGGCAGAGGATTAGCCAAGTGAGCCACAGCACCAGCCCGCAGATACATCTTAAAACGGAGGAGCTGCATAGGAAATCCTAGGCAAAAAACTAGATTTTAGCCCCTTCTCCATATCAGTTAGGAATTAGTAGCACTTGTATTGTATATACTCACGTATTCCTCACAGGCACCAGAATTAAGTTTCAAGTTAACTGAGCCCCTACCTTGTGGCAGGCTTGTGCTAATGTTATTTCACAGAGGATACAATGATCCTCCAAAGTAGGAGCTTCTCCTGAGCTAGCATGTTCGGATTAGTCTGTCAGGATCGCAGAGCTAGTCTGTTGCGCAGCAGGGTTCAGTTCCATCACGTTCCTTAGGTCCTCGGCACTGTGAGCTGGAAGCCACAGCTCAGGACCACTGGCTTCTCCGAGGTCGCACACAGACACGGTGCGGCTGGCACTTGGACCAAGTTCACTGGACTGCCAGTCTGGAATCCCTGTGCTCTTAAGGTACACGACACTTACTCCCTCTCTGCACTTCACGTTGCTTGCCAGAGACAACTCTACACCAAATTCCTGTTGACAAGACAGCAAAACCTGAGTTGGGTCTAAAATAAACCACGTCCTAAGGCTCAGATTTTGCAAAATGTCTTTCAGATGAGAGCGGATGTTGTAGCTCCCTGAGTGCTGGCAGGCTTTGTTAAGTGCTCCTGGGGCTCAGGGTTCTGGAAGACAAAGGCACAGAGATAGACTTACACGAAGCCATTTCTGAGGGGAGGTGCTTTTAGCTCTTCTGAGCTCTCCTGGAAAGGCGGGTGTGACAAGAGGTCAAGCCCCTCCCTGAACTCAGTGCCTTCAGGTGTGTCCAAGTACACTCTTGAAAGGGTGCAAATGTGTCCATTCGTGCACGTGTGCTGCTCTTAGGGAGAAAGTCCCCGGCTCCCATCAAATTCTCAGAGGGCTTCAGCATTCTCTAGCTCATTAAGAACCATGGTTTCCAGGCAGTTTCTTCCCTGAGGGAGAATCTAAGAGGCAGCATAAAGCTCGCAGAAACCTGTCTACAATTAACACAGCAAGTCGGCTGCAGAGCCAGATTTGAACTCACTTCTGACTCAGGGGAGCTCACATCGGTAACTTTTTTTTTTTTTTGAAGGCCTGCTATACAAGGGTACTTTAAAAGGTTTATTTTTGTGCAAAATATCTTGAAATATGAATGGTCTTCAAAAAGTTGATGGAAAATGTATATTGGGAAAAATACGCAAGGATGTCAAAAAGAACTTCGCACCAAAATACCTTTCATTCTATTTTTCCAAGCACTTTTTGAAGTACCCTCATATACCAGACCCTAAGCTGGTGCTGGTGGAGCAAAGATAAGACCTATGCAAAACAGGCATCAGCTACGACAGCGCTTCCCAACCACTTTTTTGTCATTTTTAGCTTATGGCCCAGGAAACATGCAGGATATTTTCAAGATAAACAGAAGAAAGTGGCTCACCTGGCCCCTATGAAGACCCCGAAGTCTCAGCATTTGCAACACCTATAAACTATTCTCAGTAGACACAACAACCTTTTTTATTTTTATTAAAGATTTTATTTGACAGGCAGAGTTACAGACAGTGAAAGAGAGAGAAAGGTCTTCCTTCCGTTGGTTCATTCCCCAAGTGGCCACAATGGCCAGAGCTGTGCTGATCCGAAGCCAGGAGCCAGGTGCTTCCTCCTGGTATCCCTTGCAGGTGCAGGGGCCCAAGCACTTGGGCCATCTTCCACTGCCCTCTCGGGCCACAGCAGAGAGCTGGACTGGAAGAGGAGCAGCCAGGACTAGAACCGGCACCCTTTTGGGATGCCGGCGCCGCAGGCGGAGGATCAACCTAGTGCACCATGGCACCGGCCCCAGAAACCTTATTTATAAAGATTTATAAATTCAGAGAGCTGAATTTGCTCCACTTCCAATCCAGCTCTCTGCTGTGGCCTGGGAAAGCAGTAGAAGATGCCCCAAGTCTTTGGGCCCCTGCACCAATGTGGGAGACCTGGAAGAAGCTCCTGGCTCCTGGCTTCAGATCCGCTCAGCTCTGGCTGTTGCAGCCATCTGGGGAGTGAACCAGTGGATGGAAGACCTCTCTCTCTCTCTCTCTGCCTCTCCCTCCTTCCCTCTCCGTAACTCTGCCTCTCAAATAAACAAACCTTTATATAAATAAATAAATAAAAAACCTTTAGTATCCTGCTACACTGGAACAATTCCTGAGCACACAGTTGTTCTTAGTTTAATACACCCCTTGCACCTCCTAGGTGTCTATCAGTCCAAAAACTCCCCCTTTTCTCAGATTTTTAACCCCTGACCCTGTATTACCACTGCCTAAATCCCAGATTCCTTTTCTACGCCACCGCCTGCTCATGCTCAGCCTTGGCAGCACAGAGAACTTGTCCAGCTGTGAACCGACACCTCCATCCTCTTCACTGTGCCTCCTTTCAATCTCCTCACCCGCTCCTGGCTGGCCCCAAGGTCACCGTCTCCCCTGCAGTCCCTAACTTCACCCAGGGGCTGGCACCTGCGACCCCAGCATCATCTCACAAGGGTGCGGGTTCGAGTCCCGGCGGCTTCCCTTCCCGTCTGGCTGCTTGCTGATGGCCCTCCTAGTGCCTGGGCCCCTGCGCCCAGGTAAGAGATCCAGAGGAAGCTCTTGGCTCCCGTCTAGCCCAGCAATGGTCATCTGGGGAGTGAATCAGCAGATGGAAGATCTCTTTCTGTCTCTCCCTTTAACTCTGACTTTCCATTGCTGGCATCCCATATCGGAGTGCGGTTGGAGTCTCGGCTCCAGTTCCAATCCAGCTCCCTGCTAACGCGCACGGGAAGGCAGCAGATGGCCCAGGAGCTTCCCTCGCCACCCACGTGGGAGACCCTGATGGAGCTCTGGCTCCTGGCTCCTGCTTCGCCTAGCCCCAACTGGTGCGGCCATTTGAAAAGGGAATGAAGATGATTCTCTATCTCTCCCCCCCGCGCCCTATCGTTCTGCCTTTCAAGTAAATAAATCTGAATAAAGAACGTCACCCATACACCCGAAGCGCTCTGTGGCCCCTACACTTGGCACGCTGTCGCTTCTCAACGTCTCGGGCGCCTAGCAGGGGACCCGCCTCTCGTCTACACCCATCGCTTCTCCCGAGTGCGGGGCCACACGCACAGCATCCCGCCCACCCCGGGCTGTCGACCGTTGTCAGCAGCGTCACCGCCGCACTGGCCCCTTCCTAACCCCTCCCCGCGCGCCTCTCACAGCCAGGCTTCACCAGATTAGTCTACATTCGCCGCGTCCTTCCTTTGTGGGGCCAAGGGACAGAGCTCAGTCGGCGCTAGCTAAGTCCCGAGTCTGCAAAGTACCAGCCGAACCGAGAGCAAGCTCGCCGCCTCACCCCGCGCCCGGTCACTCCCTCAGCTTCCAGTCGCCTCCTTCCCAGCCTCGACTCCTCCCCTTGCTGCGCCGACCGCGGTTCTCGCGATACTTGGTGCCTTCCTTACGCGCCGCCCCAGCTGAACGGCGCACTTCTCGCGAGGCTACAGGCAGGGCCGGGCCCGACATGGCGGAAGGTAGGGTTTTTTTGTGGAGCCGCGCGGGAAGGCGCGAAGCTGTGGGGGCGCTGCTGGCCGGGCGAAGCAGCCCTGGGAGGGGACGTCCGGGCGTGGTCGCATGGGGCACAGCGGGTCTCGCGAGCCTTCCTTCCCTGTTTCGCCCGGGCTCCGCGGGCCGGGGTCCTGGGCGCTGTTCCTATGGCAACGCCCCTTCCGCCGCCGCCGACCCCACGGGACCACGGCGGGCTGCGGAGCCGGGGTGGGAGGTCCCGTGGCGGGACCGAGCGCAGCCGCGGGGCTCCCGAGGGCGGCGCGGGACGGCGGGAGGAGCAGTCCCTGTCCCCAGGAAACCGAAACTGCTGTCCTGGCACGTCCTGCATCCGGAAGGGGTGCATCCCTCTCCCGCGGGAGCGCTCGGGGCGCCTCCCGGACGGAGGGTGGGAGATCCGGGGCTGCGCTGCCCGCACCCCAGGTGGGCGCGCACGTTGGTCCCCGGCGGGCAGCCCGGTGGGAATTCTTGTCTTCCTGGGCTTGCAGATGGGGATGGGGGCGATGGGTTTGCTTGCTAAGGGAGTTGGCCAAGGTCACACTGCCCGCACGAGGAGCGCTAATACTGGACTCCTCTGCCTCCCAGTCTGGTCCATTCTGGTGATATATTTCTGATACCCCTGGCAAAGGGTAGTTTGATCTGTCAGGTCGTGCCTCCCTTACCAACACTAAAATTCCTCCTTGTCAAAGCTTCATTGTACAGGTAGGAAGGAAAAGGAAGCTAGAGATGGGGAGTGACCTCCAGGGACCTCACGCTGACCTGTGCGACCTTGCCAGAGTGCTTCTCTTACCTGCCTCTTGATTGGAGAATGGTCCTAGTTTGACTTGGTGTATTGAGCGAGTGCATTGTGCCTGCTTATGACCTGTCATTGTTTGGATGGAACATGGATTTGCATAGCTCTTGACAGGTTTTTCTCATGAGCATTAGACTTCAAAATAACTTTGCCTAGGGGGCCTGGCTCTTCATAGATAAAGGCATTGAGGCCAATGTTATATAGACATAGCCAGGACTGCCACTTAGGCTTTGTCTTTGCTTTTTCTACCACGTGAGAGTCCCTGCAGGGGGAACTTCAGGAGAATGTTGCCTGAACACGGAGGAGCAAGGGAAGGAACAGAATTGCTAAAGCATCCTTCAAGCTAGCTTTGGGTAAATCGCCCAGTGCTCTTTCACTCAGCGGGCGGCAGCCAGTGAAGTGGGGCTTGTTGCATAGAGCAGACAGGTGGAGTAAAAAAGTTCAAGAAGGCCTTGTGTGAGGCCGTGGGCAGCGCAGCGCTGTTAGAGAGAGGGCAGTTGCAGTGTGCTGGGAGGTAGGGGAGGGGGAGTCTGTTACCAAGGCTGAGATTGTGTAGCCGGTGAGTTTCCCATTCAGCAGTTTCCCTGAGCACCTCTGTGCTTGGCAGTGAGGCTCCAGCCTGAGGAGCTCACACCTGCAGCGGTCAGTGGTCCACTGATGATTGTCCTGCAGGTCTTGAGATAATGTGTCAGGGTGGGCTGGAGAGATCTCCCCAGTGGGGTGTACACCTCAAACAAAACAGCCTCTCAGGATGAAGTTGACCAGTAAGTGCAGTCCGGAGGGTTGAAGTCAGTCTTTGGTTTACCATTCTGGAGTTTCACTGTGCACGTTTAAGGTTTTTAGAAACAGTGTTGGAAGCTTTGACTAGGAAGAATGGAAGGAGCCCTTCTGGGCCAGTTAGCTTATTAAACTGGAAGTGCTTCCTGGGCAAAGTCTAGCAAAATGAGCAAGGAAATGTTTATTTAGGGCTGCATCCACTTTTGTCAGAGTTGGCCCAAGTCTTTCTGAGATGCTCATTTAAATATAAGTAGCAAGAATCTAACAACTGGGTTTTTTGTGAACTACTTCTGGGGAACTTCCTGACACTAGTTGTCATTTGGTGGCATGAGAACGAGGGAAATGATGTGCAGGAAAAGTTAATGGAACCTTGAGGGACTGCGTGTACAGTATCTTCGTATGTGACTCCTTCAGAAAAGTCTTTCCTTCCATTGTACTGTGCCTGTTGATTTGACTACATATGCATGGTTTTTTTTCATAATTGGTGTGAGCTTTCTGCGGACCCTGCACATAAAGATTTCTAATTTTTTTTGCACCAAAGTGCCAAAGTGAACTTCTTTTCATTCCATTTTCGATGAATTTTTTCTTTCTTTTTTTAAATTTATTTGACAGGTAGAGTTCCAGAGAGAGAGAGAGTGAGTTCTTCCTTCCATTGGTTCACTCCCCAAATGGCCATGATGGTGGGAGCAGGGCAGATCCGAAGCCAGGAGCCAGGTGCTCTTCCTGGTCTCCCATGCGGGTGCAGGGCCCAAGCACTTGGGCCATCCTCCACTGCCTTCCCAAGCCACAGCAGAGAGCTGGACTGGAAGAGGAGCAGCTGGGACTAGAACCAGCGCCCATATGGGATGCCAGTGCCACAGGCAGAGCATTAACCTAGTGCGCCACAGTGCCGGCCCCTTGACGATTTTTTTGATGCACTGTCGTGTGTATGTATCTATAGCCTGTCCTAAAATTGTTTTCTGTTTCCATCCTGTGTTCATCTCTGCAGCTATCCTACTGATCTCAGCTTCCTTCCTCACTCAAGTGAAAAGCTTCAAAAGCCTGCCACCTGGGCTGCCTGCTCTAACTTGTTTCACCTTGGATTTCCTTCCCCACAGCCTGTTTTCACCGTTTCTGGTGTTCCCATTAGAGCATAAATCGTATCACGTCACTTCACTCTTCTCAACGCATCAACTTGTCCATCCCCACCTCTCCTAGTGCTCCATGATCATGGAGTATATTCCACAGCCTTGCAGTGACTCTTGTCCCACAGGGTCTGACCCCTGTTTAAACTGTGACCTTGCTTCTCACGCCGTGCCCCGGCATGCTGACTAACTTCCTTGCTCTCCCTGCTATGTGCCTCACCTGCGTCACCTCTGCGGCTCTGTCCCTTGGCCTGAAGCAGTCAGTTTTCCTGTTTCTGCCACAGCCGGCCAGCCAACTTCCATTTACTCGTATCACTAGAAAGCCTCCCTCACTGGGATATAAACCCACCGAGGGCAGCATGTGTTCTGTTTCGTCCACTGCTGTCTCTCCCCGTCTAGAAGCATGGCTGGGATTGGAGGACAGTGTGGATCTATTGAGCATCATTTGTTGCCCCATCCTTACTCTGCCAGGAGCTGCCTAACCCACTTTTTATCCAGCCAGCTTTAATCTGAACAATACATATGTGATGCTTCGTGGGTCAGACTTTGCTGCTGGACTTGGGTTTGGATCCTCATGTAACTAAGCTGCGATCATAAGCAAGTCAGTTCATTGCTCTTGGCCCGCGTTTCCTCAGCGTTAACAGGGAGGTACCTGGGAGGGTCAGGAGGAACCGTACCTGAAGAACAGCCTTGGCACAGCCCTGGTGTTTTTAGCCCTGGCTTACACTCTTTCTCTTACTTGCCTCTTGAACGGCTGCTCATCTCTCCTTCCTCAAATAAAAGTGGAAATTGAAAAAAGTGTAAATGCTTTTTTTAAATTAATTGATTTATTTAAAAGAGTTACACAGAGGAGAGGCAGAGAGAGAGAGGGAGAGGTCTTCCATCCGCTGGTTCACTCCCCAGTTGGCCGCAATGGCCAGAGCTGAGCCAATCTGAAGGCAGGAACCAGGAGCCTCCTCTGCGTCTCCCATGCAGGTGCAGGGGTCCAAGGACTATGGCCTTCCCAGGCCATAGCAGAGAGCTGGATCAGAAGTGGAGCAAATTCGCCGGCGCCGCGGCTCACTAGGCTAATCCTCCGCCTAGCGGCGCCGGCACACCGGGTTCTAGTCCCGGTCGGGGCGCCGGATTCTGTCCTGGTTGCCCCTCTTCCAGGCCAGCTCTCTGCTGTGGCCAGGCAGTGCAGTGGAGGATGGCCCAGGTGCTTGGGCCCTGCACCCCATGGGAGACCAGGAAAAGCACCTGGCTCCTGGTTCCTGCCTTCGGATCAGCGCGGTGCGCCGGCCGCAGCGGCCATTGGAGGGTGAACCAACGGCAAAGGAAGACCTTTCTCTCTGTCTCTCTCTCTCACTGTCCACTCTGCCTGTCAAAAAAAAAAAAAAAAAGAAGTGGAGCAAATTCAACTCTCTTTTATGGCCTGGGAAAGCAGCAGAAGATGGTCCAAGTCCTTGGGCCTCTGTACTCACATGGGAGACCCGGAAGAAGCTCCTGGCTCCTGGCTTCGGATCGGTGCACCTCTGGCCTTTGCGGCCAGTTGGGGAGTAAACCAGCGGATGGAAGACCTCTCTCTGCATCTCCTTCTCTCTGTGTAGCTCTGACTTTCAAATAAATAAGTAAATCTTAAAAAAAAAAAAAAAAAAAAGTAGAGCAGCTGGGACACAAACCGGTGCCTACATGGGATGCTAGTACTGCAGGTGGCGGCTTTACCTGCTATGCTACAGCTCCAGCCCCTGGTTTGTTAAACAGAAAATTAACTGTAGACTTTTAATAATGTAACAGAATTTGGTCAGGAAAATATTTTGGACAATTCAGCTAACAAGGTGAAGACAATCCATGTTCTGGACATTCACAGGTCAATACAATAGCCATTAGCCACAAAGAGCTGCTTAAGTTAAAATTAAATAAAAATTTGGGGCCAACACTATGGTGTAGTGGGTTAAGCTGCCACCTGCGGCACTGGCATCCCGTTTAGGTGCCGGTTCAAGTCCCAGCTGCTCCACTTCTGATCCAGCTCCCTGCTGATGCTCCTGGGAAAGCAGCAGAAGATGGCCTGCGTGCTTGGGCCCCTGCATCCACGTGAGAGACCCAGAAGAAGCCCCTGGCTCCTGTCTTGTCCAGCAATGGTCATTTGGGGAGTGGCCAGCAGATGGAAGATCTCACTCTTTCTGACTCTCTCTCTCTTTGCAATTCTGCCTTTCAAATACATAAATAAATTTAAAAAAAAAAATCAAGAGCTTAGTTCCTTTGTACTAGTCCCATTCCAAGTTCTCAATAGCCAGTGACTAGTAGCTCTCTCACTGGACAGTGCAGATTAGAGATTTGCATCATTGCAGAAAGTGCTGGTGGATAGTGCTGTTCTAAAGAATGCTTATCTGTAGGCTAGTAGAAATTGGGAGCCAGTGGATGGAGCTCCTGGCTTCTGGCTTCAGCCTGTTCTTGCCCTGGACTATTTCAGCCATCTAAGGAGTGAACTAGTAGTTGAAAGATATCTCCATCTCCATCTCTCTGTTACTCTTTCAAATGAAAAAAAAAAAAAAAAATGGGAGCCAAGAAACCTTGTTCTCTTTCATGTGTGTGTTTTTTTTTTTTTTTTTTTTTTTTTTTGACAGGCAGAGTGGACAGTGAGAGAGAGAGACAGAGAGAGAAAGGTCTTCCTTTTGCCGTTGGTTCACCCTCCAATGGCCGCCGCTGCAGCCGGCGCACCGCGCTGATCCTGGCAGGAGCCAGGAGCC